ATCTGATGGCCGAGTGCGGGCGCAGACGTTAACGCACTTGTGTGTGTGCTGTTTCCGGGAGAATAAAACGATTCGCGGGACTCTCGCAAAATATAAATCTATTGAACATCTCAAAACTAGTAAATTGTCATATATCGGTTGCACAAAAGCAACAAGAACCACTAAAACAAAATAAAAACTATTTACAGGCCAGAGTCTATCTATTTATATCATGTTTGCAGCGTTTAACAATGTAGCCAATCACAGACATATGTGTTGATTTCTTGAATGCATTGGCCAATCGGAAGCATTTAAGATGGAATCTCCTCACGGCTCAAAATTGACTTTTTGTTCAGTGCTGAATTCTGCATATTGGCAAATCGATATTACGAATGATTCATTGTGCAGCCAGTTTCATTGCTAATAACAGATGTCAGCTTTTTAGGAATTATTAAGGGAGAAATCCGAATCTTTAAAAACAAACGATAAAGTTATATTTACATATTAACAGTAGCTTAGGCTGTGTAATCTAGTGTGTGTGAACCTTTTTATAAAAAAAACACAAGTGCATTTCGAACAAGTTAATTGAGTACATCATATTCTCACTATAGTAATTAATTACAAACTATAATAAACACATTTTCTAAATAGGCCTGTGATTGTATACATCGGACATTTTATGAAATAGTACCATTAGTTACAAATAAAGTTTAAAATATTTGCATATTTCATTACCCTTTCTGAAATACTTTTTTTTTGGTCATTTATCATTTCATGTTAAAATAATATACAGATGCACTACCTATTCTTCAAAATACAGCTGATATAGCCTATTGGTAGCATTCATAGCACAACAATAACATCATAAACATTTTTAAACATAAATGTTTAAAAATGTTTATGATGTTATTGTTGTGCTTGTTTTATTACTCAGGAAGAGACAAAGCTGTGTGCAAGATTTCTTTCATAAAAAGGACGTCACCGCTTGCACGCCCCACATGGCCGCTGGACTTACTGATAGCATTCTGAACATGATGTGATGAGACCTCTTTCTATTGTAGAGCTTTCGTGAGATGATCAACGTGTTCAAATTAGTAACAAAGTCTCTAAACATTTTTTTGCACTGTTTATGTTGGACTTTGCTCCTTTCAACAACTTAATGCCTTCATATTAATGTATTTTTTGCGCTGTGTTTGGCAGAATTTATGTGAAATTAATGTTACATGATGCACTAAAGTGTTCCTTGCATTTTAATTCTGGCACTTTATTTTTTATACTGGGAATTTTTAATGTATTTTTTAAAAAAAAATAATGAATAAAAGTTTTAAATACTAATGGTAGAAGTTGTACTTATTATTTATTGGAAATTTTCCCAATTCAAATCAGCTAATCCAAAAAATATGCATTAGATTAATCGAAACAATAATCGTTAGATTAGTCGACTAATCGAAGAAATAATCGATAGATTAATCGACAACAAAAATAATCGTTAGATGCAGCCCTAGTGTACTGTATAGCAAGAGACAACATACGATGTGATGTAGACGAGAACATGTGGCCAAATGCTGAATCGTATCGATTAGAACAGGACTTTTTTTCTGTGATGTTTTTTTTTATTTTTTGCACACTTTATACCAAAGGCCATGTATGTTTTTCTTTTTTTTTGTTTCGTTTTGTTGATCACTGACAGCAATTTCATATAGACCATTTCACAAGATGTAAACAACACTGGTCCAGAAGCACTTCCTGTTTCAGTTTTTTTACACTACATAAAAGCTGGGATAAAATACAACCAACAGAACATTTAAAACTGAATCAAAAAGTTAAACAAACATCTTTAAGATGTTTTCTTTACATGTGAAATAAAGAAAACAGCTACAAACTGAAACAGGAAGTGCTTCTGGACCAGTGTTGTTTACATCTTGTGAAATGGCCTATTGCTAATAAAGCCTTCACTGCAGTAATTCTGTCACTTACTGTTTTTTATTCAGTTGTACAAGTATTGATGACTCCTTCATATTTAGATATTATGTTGTACACATAATATCTATCTAATGAACCATGAAGTCATGGAAAATGGATTTCATACTGTATGTTCTATACAGATAGAACTGAAACATGACAAGTAATGCAGTTTTTGTAATGCCACCAACTGTTAGTATTTTGACAGTCATTGCACTATGATTGACTATGTGTTCATGTTGGATAGAAAATGAGTGCTAGTGTTTTGACCGAATGATTCAATTTTGAAGCAGGTTTACAGTGTTTTGATAGAGTTAGTTTATATAGAAAAAGATTTTTAGTGTTTTGAAATGTACAGTTTGTATTTATTTAACAAACTGTGGTTTTGGTCAGAAAATGAACTATTTGGCTAATTGTGTGATGTAGGTGTGTTGCTGTGTTAAGAGTTTAGAAAAAATATTTTAAGAATTGGCAAACGCTTCTCAGCAATTGAAAAAAACTGTAAATGGCAATGAAGATTGCCTATTAATTGTCATTTAAGTGAAATTACTGAACTTTAATATACGGGGTTGATAAAAATGATCATTCTAGAAGAAAATTTCAAATGGCACTTAGAGGCTTTTGCATATGAACTCTTCAAATTCTAAAATGAATAAATAATTTTTCATGGTGATCTGTATTCCTGTCATTTAATATATATATATATATATATATATATATATATATATATATTGTGCCTTTTTAAGTTTGGTAGACTGATCAGGCATGGCAGGCTGAATCATACCATGCCAGTTCTTCTGGCATATTTCGATGTTGAGAGAGACCTTCGACCCGACTACCGCCTTTCAAGAAAATCAATGAATAACTTGATGGATATTCTACACAGGCACCAAGACCACGACTGGGGATCTTATTTGGAAGTCCTAATATTTGTGTACTGGATTGGCCATGGACTGTCTTACAGAGTCACTGCACGGGCGTTCTCTGTGCCAAAATCCAACAATTGTTCAGAAAATAATGGACATTGCAGGTAAAGTGATTTGCTATCCACGTCATGACCAGCTTGAAGAAGTTGGCCAGCGATTTGGACGCCTTGCTCGGCATGCAGCATTCAACAAGGCTGTAGGGGCAATAGATGGATGCCATATTTGGATCAAGCCTCCAAATCGTAAACAAAGAGGACTATTTTAATTACAAACAATTCTATTCCATCCAAATGCAAGCCATCTGTGACTCTCAGGGACGATTCCTTAACATCTTTGTGGTTTTCCTGGCTCTGTACATGATACCCGTGTTATAATAAACAGACCACTTTATGTCAATGCTGAGTACCCCCCACCTGCCTTTTTCCTTCTTGGTGATGGGGGATATCCCTGCATACAGTCCCCCATAACCATCATCACACCCTACAAACTGCCACTTCAAGGAAGGATCGAGGAACGCTTCAATCAAAGCCATTCACGTGCGCGTTCAATTATTGAACGAGCCTTTGGTATGATGAAGGCACGCTGGAGGGAAACACTCTTCAAAGCCTTAGAAGTAACAGTTGGCTTCTGCACACAGGTGGTCACTGCCTGTGCATTTTTACATAATGTATGCCGTACCCATGGTGATGTCCTGGAACCAGAGCCAGCTGATGATGGCCCACCACAACCACCAACAGCAGAATCTGCACAGGAGAGAAGTGGCAACTAGCTCCGGGCCCAACTCGCTGCACATGTATCAGTACCCCTTGATGTTCAAGGGCACCTTTTGGAACATGACTACATAATTTAATTCAAAGTACCTCATACCTCAACACACACATTGTTGTCACGTGAATTGTTTTATTGCAGTTTTGTGTATATATTTTTGCAAAATGAAAAATGTAGTCAATAACTTTTCATCTGCAAGTACCAAATGTGTTTGTTCTATTTATACATCTGTGGTTATAAGCCAACACTTGTACCTGGTGGTATTGTTCTGCATTTAGGGGTGTAAATCGGGGCTTTCATGATGATTCGATACGATACCGATTTCTTAAACCAACGATTCGATTATTTTCAATACTTCAAAATTCCCCACGATACGATTCGATACGATTAATACTAGATATTTTTACATGATATGAAGTTTCAAATAAATCAACAAAAAATGTATATTTTGCCTTTTATTGAAAATACAGAAACAATATTCTATTCACAGTGTGCATGTTGTGCTCAAAGCACTGCAAATAGAACAGCAAATGTACTGCATCAGTTACTGCATCTAGGCCTACAGTTACAATAAAGTGCCATCAGATAAATTGTAATTAGAACAAAATAAAAATAATTAAGTCTAATGCTTACAGTTAGGGCTGGATGATTAATCGAAAAATAATCGAAACCAAAATTCAGAGCCTATAACCGACGTAATTTTACCATGTAGTTTTTTTTCTTTCGTTTTTTTAATCCTATTAATATTTCCGCCCACTGTGTGTTAATGTACTTTTCCTTTAAAACATATTACCACGCGCGACTGCGCGCCGTTACATAGTCAACGCATCGGTACGCGTCCGCGAGGCTATGCATCGCTACGCTTTGGCCGCCATTATGCGTCGATGCGTAGCCTAATGTGTCGTCCTAGTTTTTGATACGCGACGCACTGATGCACGCAATACTATGCATTATCGGTGGGGGCGATATTGCAAGAATTGTACATTAATTCAAATATATTATGTTAACAGAAAAAGACGGTTTGAATACAATGGCGGGCGAGGAGGAAAAATTATGCGAACTTATACGCGTTCATCCGCAATGTAACAATGTAACACTGTAAAAATGTATATGCTTTATCTAATCAATAAAATTGTGGCAACAGATTACAAGCAATGTTATTTATTAAATAGAACAAATTAGAATTTAGTAATAGTTAATCAAATTAACATTCTAATTAATTCTAATTTGTACAATTGAATTAATAATATTGCTTGTAATATGTTGCCACAATTTTATTGATTAGATAAAGCATGTTATTTTTTTCAGTGAGTGCACGCTCTCTTTTTCATTGCTTCTGGGCTATTTTATTGAGCAGGTCTGCTATCAATTATTTTTATTCCCACCTGGATAGGGTCGCATCAGGTTCTCCTGTAAGGGAAATGCCTCATCCCCCAGGAAAAAAAAAGGACTGGGCGTTGTGGTGCCCGGTAAGACACCATCAGCAGGTAGATTGAGCTTTCCCTCTGCCAGTCTGGATCCAAACGCACTGCGGCCCAAGACACCTCCATCGCTCTCACGCCCGAATGCGCCAACATCGATGTAAATAAATCTATAGTTCGCATCAGCAGCTGCCATAAGAATAATAGAAAAAAAACCTTTGTAATTGTAGAAGTCGCTGCCTGATCGTGGTGGTGCTCTGATGCGAACATGCTTCCCGTCAATCGCTCCGACACATAGGGGAAACTGCCACTGTCTCCAAAAGTCCTCCGCTATGTCCTGCCACTGACTGAGCGAAGGAAAGGCCATGAACTCCCCCTGAAGGGCATCCCAGATGGCACAACACATCTCATCTACAATGCCCGAAACAGTGCTGGTGCCCATTTTGTAGCTTGCAGAGAGTGCCTGCAGGCTGATGCCTGTCGTAAGGTACCGCAAAGTCACTGCAAGCCTTTGCGAAGCTCCAATCGGGTTGCGGTGATTTTGGTGAGTGTCCGGGAGAAAGCGGACGACTTGTGAGAGCAGTTGATCGAATTTTGGCGCCAACATCCTAAAATACTGGAAATGTCTCTCCTCGTCCAGGCTTCGCATGGGAAGCACCAGAGACACAAACTCCCCATCCTGATCTCTTTTATGATTTAAAGGGCGAACATACCACCGCCTATCTATGCGCTTTCTTTGTTGCTGCCTAAGTAAAATCCACAATATGCACTCCTCTTCAGTTGCCATTTTAATCTGACGTGACCCGATTCTACTACTGCTACCACTATCACCCTACTACCCCCTGTTGCGTGACCGGTGTATTGCATTTTACGCATCGCCCGTGACGCTTGCGCCTGCTTTTACACTATGAAAGGGAGCACGTCGCTCGCGTCACTCGCGTTGCTTGCTCGCATAGCTCGCGTTGACTATGTAACGGCCCTCACTGTTCACAAGCCTATTCACAAACAAACAAACAAAGACTTGTTTTTTTTTATACAGAATACATTTACTTTGGCCACATTTACCATGCCGCATCAAGCGGCCCTGATGGTCAGTGCTACAGGAACAGGAAACTGTTCCCTTCCATAATCCTGCAGGCTGTTTGTGACCATCAGGGCCACTTCATTGACACCTACGTGGACTGGCCCGGGTCAGTGCATGAGTGCAGAGTACTCCGGTACAGCCCACTGTACAGGAGGTCAGTGTACCCTCCTCCAGGGCACTTCATCCTGGCAGATGGAGGCTACCAACAACCGCTCCCCCTCATCACTCCCTACAAGAGGCCAGTACGAGGTGTTGGACTTTTTAAATCGCTAATTTATACCACTAAAAAGGCTCAAAATAGCCCCACACTCACACAGTAACATAATGGGGTCCCTGGATGCAAAACGAAGCATTGAGAACTTTGTAAGTGTACAAGACCGTTTAATAAGAAGATACTTTATAAAGACAGTTCACTTCGTGTATACAGATAGGAGCCATCCCAGATAGCAAACTGACATTGAATCAACGTGGAAATATGACATCGAAACAACGTTGATCTGACATTGTTTTGCTCATCGAATTAACGTTGAACCAACGTCAGACTTTCAAAACTTCTTTCAAAACTAACGGAAAATCAACTTGAAATCAACGCGTTGTTTCAACGTTATGAAAGCAAACCAATTTTCGATTTTCATTTAGCTTTGAAGAATGCCGCGTCTGACGTTGGTTCAACGTTAATTCGATGAGCAAAATCAACGTTGTTTCAATGTCATGAGAGACGTCGTTTCCAAGTTGATTCAATGTCAGTTTGCTGTCTGGGATCTTAGAAAATACTCTTGATAAGTCGATCCCGGAACGCCGTTCATTCAGTTCAGAAGTTCACTGAACTTAATACAGTTCAGCTCACTCAGCACGACGTTCGTGGTTTGACTTGTCGTGACTGTTTTCCAAAGATGGCGCCGCCTGTATACACAAAGTGAACTGTCTTTATAAAGTATCTTCTTATTAAACGGTCTGTACACTTACAAAGTTCTCAATGCTTCGTTTTGCATGTATGGACCCTCATTATGTTACTGTGTGAGTGTGGTGCTATTTTGAGCCTTGTTAGTGGTATAAACTAGCGATTTATTTTTACTTAGTAAATGCCCCCAGTACTAGCACTATACGCTAAACAGTTTTTAGAGATAAAACTCTTTACATTCGATTATCATGAAAACAAATCTCAGAGAACAGTTGACTAGGTACCGATGTTTTATTTGACCAAAGGTTCATTTTGCACCGGAGTTCTCCTTTAACACTGCAAGATATGACACATAAGGAAAATACTTTAGAAAACATATTTCGGGATACTCAAAAAATGCAGTTAAAACCTGTTAAAAACAGTTCAAATTTGTAGAAATAGCTTGCATGACAGCACTTCAAAAACACATAAAATTGAAACCTCATTCACATAAGTATTTTTTTTTAAATTGTTGAGGGCTTTATAGGGCGAGTGAAATTTCTTATAAAATTTACTACAGCAAATATTACAAGAAGGTTGTTGTCTTACCTCCAAGCCACACTGTCACACTGGTTTTTGGCCCCAGTAAATAAGTAGTCATTCTCAGACTGCGCTAGAGTAGGCTAGCTGCCTTCCTGATTATTCATTTGATCAAAGTGAGTAAACAGCTATGGAGACAGAATTGGCTATTGTCATTTTTTTAATATATTTTACTGGAGGACATGGAAGCAGGGGCGTAGCAAGAATTTTATTTTTGTCGGGGCCCATCTTTAAATGAGATGGGCCCCCACAACAATATCGTCGCTGCCCGATGATATTTATTACCAATCTTTATTTTTGTTGTTTTTGTGCACAAAAAGTTTTCTCGTCGTTTGATAAACTTAAGATTGAGCCCCTGTAGTCACTTGGACTATTTTAACGATGTCCTTTAAATGACTTTTCGAGGACAGCAAGTCATTCCCTCAAGAAGCCTCCCAGACAGCAAACTGACATTGAATCAACGTGGAAACGACGTCTCTTATGACATTGAAACAACGTTGATTTTGCTCATCGAATTAACGTTGAACCAACGTCGGACGCGGCATTCTTCATGCTAAATGAAAATCGAAAATTGGTTTGCTTTCATAACGTTGAAACAACGCGTTGATTTTCCGTTAGTTTTGAAAGAATGACGCGTCTGACGTTGGTTCAACGTTAATTCGATGAGCAAAACTATGTCAGATCAACGTTGTTTCAATGTCATATTTCCACGTTGATTCAATGTCAGTTTGCTATCTGGGCTATGGACTAATAGGCTACAGGAGTGATCTTAATATCTTAAATATCTTAATTTGTGTTCTGAAGATGAACGAAGGTCTTACGGGGTTGAAACAACATGAGGGTGAGTAAATACTGACATACTTCATTTTTGGGTGAACTAACCCTTTAAAATGCCCAACTTTACAGCAGAAAAAAACATGTTTAGGCTACAGCCTGGAGCAAAAAGTGGCTTTGGTCTATAGAGCTCATTTTTCCCTTCATGACAACTGTGAGGAGGGTGAATTTTTTTTTACAACTCATCTGTTTAAATTATATTTAAGCCTTAAAATTCTGCATAATTAAGGGCGTGGCCACTTGAGTGACAGGTGGATTCTTACTGCCGCTTTCACTGCTAGTCGTTTGTCTGCTATAGCGTCACCCTCAGCTGTGTTTGTGCTTTTTCCGGGATTATTTCATACAATTCAATACATGTATTATACCTTCGCCCGTGCACACCATTGGATTCCGTCGTGTTGAGTATGGAGAGAACAACCAGCGCCGTGTTTCCAGCTGTTTCTCTCGCATGGACTAATGGATGTCTGATGATTTCAGTGCTTTCTCTCCGTCCATGCAATAGATGCACATGAATGAGCGCGGATTTCTAGTTAATTTACTTGAAGTTCTGAGGTAATATCTTTGGTTTTACCCATCTGAGAAACTGAGAGACGGCCAAAATCAGATTGTAAAATGGACTGAAGCTCTTTACGAACTTGACGTGAGATGCCGCCTGACATTGTGTGACTGTCACATGCACAAGCTTAGAGCAATATTGTAAGAAATTAATAATTTTTTTTAAATATAGGCTATATTTTTATATATGTTTTTTATATAATGTAGGAACTTCACAGCCTACTTCATTAAGTATTCATGTAAATGTGAAGTACTTTTTCTCCTTACAGGACAGCAACACTACGCATTGTTAGTACATTAAACTAGACTAAAGTAGGTAATCCTATAGTTTAAATGTATCAACCTTGCAAACACTCAGATACCATTACAAAAATAAACAATGTCCAGAGCCGTGAATTTTATTTTATTTACACATTTAAAATTGCATAAAATAATAAATGATCAATAATAATGTACAGAAATGTATTTTTTCATTTTCGCTTTTCCACAAGACAAATGAAGCCACACAATGGTGACGAATGAGTAGATGAAAAAAAACTTGTGGCTTTTAACTCTGGTTTCTCTGCCATTTGATTAATGAAAACAATACTTTTATGTTTAAATGTGAATTTGCCGTCCACCACCAAACTCTCGGCCGCCCTTTTTTTTTTTTTTTTACAATAAAAATGCTGTCATCACCAGCGCATTGACTTATGGGGTAGGATAGGCTGCTTAGGATCCATTTATGTACTGTCTCTTTCACAGGGAAAAAAAGGTGCATTCAAATACGGCCAAGTGTCCTTCAAATACGGCCTTCGGAGGATGCAGCCTTCACATTGGGACACAGTCGAGGGGGTAATCCATCAGCCGGAAGTTGAAGCCTCGCGGTGAGCCACCATTGTAGCAGAACTTCTAATGCTGTTAGCATCCCATTGACTCCCATTCATGTTGGCGTCATTTTGACAGCGAATAACTTTACATCTGAATTTAAGACTTCATTTGTCCATTATTTATTTCTAAAGAAACACGACAATGTATGATACACTACATCACTTTGTATCTTACGTCATGGCCCCGTAGATGCCGTTTTTGTGAAAAATAGGCTAACGATTGCGTCATCACTATGCAACTTTTTGTCGCACAATAGAGACATTACTGTATAGACAGAAGGAGAAGCTCGCAGGCAATCTTTTACTGTCTATGAGGCAATCTGGGGAACATGGAGGCATAAAGTCGAGGGAGAAGCCTTTTACTGTCTATGGGAGAAGCCCATAGATAAAGAGTCCATAAAAGCAACGGGACAAAATATTTCAACAACGTTTTGGCTTGGCAGAGCTACTAGAAGATTTACAACAGTCAGACTGTCGTCACGCTCAATTTGAGGCTGCACAGTCACCCAGACATCAGACAGGAAGTGCAAAAATCGGGCTTCAGTCTTCTCCGTTGAAATCAATGGGGTCGCTCTGTCCATTTCTTTTACTGTCTATGAACACAGCTCGTGTGAACCACCGCTCCTCTCTCTCTCTCTCGCACCTGCAGTGCATTAGCGCTTATCAGGCAGGTCAATATTTCTGCCATACCCGGAACCGGAGTGGAATGTGTCGCACACTAATCGTTCCGTCTGGAAACTCATGGCACATGAAGAGGGTTCCGCTCACTGAGGGTCTTTGTCACCCGTGACATTGTTTCTACATTAATCTGGAGATGAAATGAAATAATTAAATTATAAAATGTATTATTTTGTTTTAATTATTCTGATTTCTTTTAATTATTTTTATTTCTTTCTATGTAAAGCAGTTTGATTA